TCATTATATTAACCGTTATTTATTGTTACTGAAAAAGGCCAAAAGAGTGTGAGCCGAAATTTGGCTGTACACTGTTAGAAATGTTCTTAAATTTCATTAACTTTTAAGTTACGTAATTGAATTTAATTTGAATTTAATTTCATGACATTACATTAAATTTAATGTATTTGTAACTAAAAAGTATATTTATGTACGTACATGTACATAAAATTTAATGTATTTTTCATGAAAATTTATGAAATTTAATGTACTTTTCATAAAATTTTATTAAAAGTACATTAAATTTTATAAATTTAATGTACACGTTCATTACATTACTACTGTAACTTAATTTTCAGTTAAATCATTCATTACTTTTAATTTCGTTCATAATCACCAGCTTCATTTACATGTAAAGGAAGCTCGTGATTACATTTCTAACAGTGTATTTGCGTAATTTTTGTGTAATTATTTAGTAAGAATTATAAATTCATTTAAAGAAATTTGCGCACTAATTATTGCGGCGACTCCCATTAGTTCTTTTCACTTTTATATCAAATATCCAGATACAAGAAGAATATATAGTATTGATTAGATATAAATTAAACATTAAAATATACGCTAATAATAACTGCAATGTTGCTCTCAATGATCTTTCTTTATATTAGATACTAGTTTTATTTTAAATATTAAGAGATAAAAGTTATTTCTTTTTGTGCGAAAATAAATCCCGTTTATGGTCAAAACTTTTTAATTTGCTGACAAAATTAACTTGTTCCTTTGTATGCTGCGGGAACTCTTTATTTACATCGCAAACAGTCATATTTCTGGATGCTGTTCGCAAAGGCGACGCGGCAAACAAAACTCTCGCCGACTCGTCGAGGAATTTACTGAAAGAATTGCAAGCACGTTGGATTCGCTAGTACTCTTTTTCTTCTTTGGAAAAATTCTTTTACGCGACGTAATCTACCTGCGTTCTTCGTCACGCACACGAGTAAATTCGTATAAATATCCAAAACGTGCTGCGACCGAAAGCTTGTGGCAAGGAAAGACCGGAGGTAGAAAGAGAGAACAACATCGGCAAAAGTGAAGCTCTTGAAACGTTTAAGGCTATTCCTGGCGTCGAGGCAGATGGCCGGTTGCGTACCGAGAGGAATCGATCCCCAGTTTAACTATCGGTCGGAGTCACAATCTGGCGTGGTTTAACGCAAATCGGAATGTTTCAACAACTTACAAATAATTTAGCTAACAGAACAAAAAAATCATGATAACGTCAAAATGACATTAAATAACTCGAAAATGATTAGTAAAAGTCACTTTTTGATCAGTCATGATTTATTTTATATAAACCATTTTTCTATCTGGTTGCAAATATAAAACAGTTAATAATCAATTTTGGAAATTTTATTATGTAAAAATACGTGTTCAACACGGAGAGAATTTCCTTTTAAAATTTATCCTGAAAATATGGTAGTTGTGATACAATACAATATTTTAAAGATTTTTACCATGCATTTCAGTAAAATTGATCAAACTTATTTTATACTTTATTGTAGTTTTATTAATGAATGAGAGAGATTTACGTTAAAATTCTTTGAAATACGTTGTCCCACGACTGTCATATTTTCAAAGTAAATTCTGAAAAAAAATTTTCTCCGTGAAGGATTATTTATCTTCATAATATTATTTTGGTGATGAGCTATATAACCTGTTGTTTGCTTAAGAATCTAATTAATCTAATTTCGAAGACAGAGAAAAATGTTTGATTGAATTAATTGAAATTCTATTGGGAAATGAATGAAAAATTACTTGAAAATCTTTTTATAAGAATGAATTAATTTTAGGAGTACATTATTTTGATGATGAGCTATTATGACCTACTGTTTTGCTTAAGAATCTAATCGATCTAATTTCGAAGACGGAGAAAAATGTTTGATTGAATTAATTGAAATTCTAATGGGAAATGAATGAAAAATTACTTAAAAATTTTTTTATAAGAATGAATTAATTTTAGGAGTACATTATTTTGATGATGAGCTATTATGACCTATTGTTTTGCTTAAGAATCTAATTAATCTAATTTCGAAGACAGAGAAAAATGTTTGATTGAATTAATTGAAATTCTGATGGGAAATGAATGAAAAATTACTTGAAAATTTTTGTATAAGAATGAGTTAATTTTAGGAGTACTCTGCACAGATTACGTCTTGGTGCGTGTTTCGTATCGAACTTCGCGTACCGGATCGCAGCCGCCGATGCCACGTGCCCCGCATCTGTTGCTGTCTTCCGAAAAAGAACGAGGAGAAAGCGTCCACGACAACGAGCGACAATATAAACTCGATCGATTTCCGTCGAGAGTTCTTCGCAGAGCACAACGAATCGTTTGTGCCTTGAGAATGAGCTCGGCGCGAGGATGTTTAAAGATTCGCGAAAAGAACGAGACCCTCCGCGCGAGTCTCTTGATTGAATTAAAGTCTCCCCTGCCTTCCTGGCGCGTCTGGAATAACTCGGGAAGCAGATCCGCTGAAACAGAAAGGAGAAATATCTCACCAATTATCGCTACGATCGAAACGAGATCGATGAGAATCAATGCGACCTTGTATTAATCCTTAACTGACGTCGTAAAGAAATGTTATGTTTCTGACATGGATCCACTGGACCCTTATTTTGGAAAAGCCAATAAAATTAAACTCAGTAATCTTAAAAACATTTTTATTGTATCTTTTTGATGTTCAGGCTCTCGTCTACCTATTTTTAATCAAAACTAATAATAAAAATTGAAAATTAGTATCGCATTGATCCTTATTTAAAGCATGTTAAGTAGACTTTGATGGACGTTGAAAGATTTGATACAATGGACGATGGCAGTTAAGGGTTAACAATCGAAATTTCAATATTGCTATCTTGGAACTTCCGTAATGATGATGAAGACGCGCTTCGTAGTGCTATTAGCAATCGTAATCACAGGACGATTCACCGAGGAAGAGAAGCAGTGAGAGAAGTTCGCGGGGGGGATGGCTCTAAAAATAGTGTACGACGCATTCCGGGGACGGAGGGAAAGGCTCCAGATGGAACATCGGAAGGGACAGTGTCGCGATTCACTTCTGGCTGCCTTCCAAATGGCGACACTCCGAGGTCCGGCCGGCCGGCCTCATGAATGAATTCGCGCAGGAAAATGAGTTTCCTTGATCAAACCGGCGCGAATATCGCGGGATAGGCAGACTCGAGCCAAGCCTCGTGTCTCGCTTTGCTATCTTTTGCTCTTTCTCTCTCGTTAGACGCGGAACATCCCTGTCTGACTTCCGCAAATTCTCGCGACGCGACAGCGATTATTATAGATCATCGCGTCGACGAGCCGAATTGATGTGATAGACGATGCAACAGAAAACGAGCGAATATACTGATGACCAAGTTAAAATTATTTATAAGATGCAACTTAACATCCATATTTAATGGATATTTTTAGTAATGAGCCTCTTGATTATAAGATGTAGTAGCATCATTTATATAAGATGCCTATCAGCATTAATGTACCTACTAAATTGATTACTAATTTAATAATAGAATGTTATGGTATTATTTCAAGCTAAATATTATTAGATATTATATTACTAGACTTATTTATTATATAATATTAAAATTATTTTGTTCATCACTGAGAGAAAAATTTTTAGTAATTGTGACTAATTATTACTATTATAATGTTAATAATAATAACTATGTTTGGTTCTATCAACAAATATATATAATTAGTAAATGACTCTCAATTATAGTTATTATTACTATAAAAATGCAATTAATATAATTTAATTTTTCTCTTAACGACTCCATGAGATTGATTTTCGAAGAAATCAATCTCTTTTGAAATCGCTCGAGTTAAATCCATGGATAAAAAATATCTCAAATTTTCCTCACAATAACTTAAAACAATAAATAAGTGTGATAAGTTAAATTACAATGTAATGTTAAGGACAATGGACAAAATAAAAGAGTTTTTGTAGCATAAAACTTTAGAAACATATATTCCACATATTTATTATTTTTAATAATTACAATAGAAAATATATTATATAATTCGCTCGTATAAATTTCAACAATAAATGAGAAGACTCTACCAGATCAATTCAAAATCGAGCTATAAAGGTGTAAACAGTAAACTTTATTTTATTCTTTTTTATTCTTTTTTTAACAATTTTACGGACCGTTTCGACTGTACTAAGTCCTCGTCAGCCGTGTTTATAAATAAATAAATAAAAACCCCGAAATAATAATTTAATTAGCCGTTAAAATTAAAATTATTATAATTTCGGTAACGATGTCGACACATCTCATCCAACAATCACACAATGTATTTACAACTCCAACCATGTTAGCTCTCTCGCTGTTAACTGAATGAAGAATTGGTTTGGATCTACTTTTAAGATATACGTTTTATAATTTGACTTAGTATAACATGGTCGAGTTGTAAATACATTGTGTAATTGTTAAATGAGATGTGTCGATACCGAAATTAATTTTAAGTTTAATGGCTAATTAAATTATTGTTTCGGGGTTTTTATTTATTTATTTATAAATACGGCTGATGAGGACTTAATACAGTCGAAACGTTTCGTGAAATTGTTAAAAAAAGAATAAAAGAGAATAATAAAATTTACTGTTTACACCTTTTATAGCTCGGTTTTGAATTGTCCTGGTAGAGTCTTCTTATTTATTATTTTTATTTGAACAGCGCCGTGACGAATCGCGTTTATTTTTCTCGCGTAGGAGGCAGAGACACCAATTGACTTCAGAGGCTCGTTCAGTAACGATTCAAAACAATCTGAAGAATAAATCGCGAGTTTCGCTTCGCGGAAATCGCGTACGAAGAAAGGCGGAATAACTTACCGTTCTCTTTGCCTTATCGTTAACATCGCGTCACGCTGTACATTGCGATGTACCCGAGGGATACAGATTGGACGTGTATTCGTTGGCATGGTATATTCATACGACGCATAATAAAATGCAGAATGTTTACGTTGCAGATGCAATTAATTCTGACGTTGTGGTATCCGTGGGCGAGAAGCTCAATCTGCGTTGCCAGCAAAACTTTAACTCCAAGACGACGTGGTATAAGGACGATGAAGCCTTGCATAAATCGACGAGCAGAATCCGTATAAACAAGCAATTTTTGAAGTTCAAATCCGTTGAGATGGAGGACACTGGCATCTACAGCTGTAAATTGGAGTCGAACGAGACCATCTATTGGAGAAACGTAACAATACGCGTCGAGAACCTGCAGAACGACGGCTTCCAGAACGAAGGCGAAGATAAGGGCGCGATGAACATTCTCAGATCGGTAGACGGAGATAATGATCTCGAGATGGAAACCAGAAGTGAGTTATCCGACAACTCTCACTTACGAATCTTAATTAACCTGTGAATAATCACCTCGGATGATTTTTATATCTCAACGACAAGAAAATAAAGCTCAGTCACACTGAAGGAAAAAATTGGCTGAATGTGGCATAGCATTTTTAATTGGTTGCAGCAACCAACTTTTAATTGCGTTAGCTTATCAAAATCTTCTAATATTGATATTACGGATAAGCTATCACAACCAAAAATTGACTGTTGCAGCCAATTAAAAATGTTATGCCACATTTTACCATCTAATTTGCTGTGGCAGTCAATCTTATTTTTCAGTGCACAATAGTTTTTTTATCGATTGAGAATCCATACCCATTTTTTTAAATTTCTCTTACATTTTTTAGACAATGTTTAGTAAATCTATATTAAAAGAAAAGTGTTGGATATTTATAGTTATAATTGCATGATATAGAGGAAAGGCCCCTATTATGAGATACCGAGTTCATTTTGGGTAAATGCTAAAAATCTGTAGACAGAACTTAAAAAAGTAATAGGTTATTTTGAAGGGAATTTAATAAGCTTTAAGATAGCGTTACATAAAATTTAATTTAAATTTCATATTTTTTTTTAAATTGAAGAAATGTAAAAAGTGAGCAAATCGCAAAGTCAAAAAATTATGCTTCTAATATGAGATGCCCCGAGAAATCAATAGTAAAACGCAAAGTATGTCAGTATTACAATTAAAAAACTTTATTTAATGTTCCTAAAATACGAACAAACACAGCCAGTTTGCGCGAAAAATGCGATAGATCATACTCATAATTCGTCTTCTGGTAGTTGAAATCAAACATCACAGATATAGGCACTCGACGTTCATTCCGGTTGTCTTTTTTATTATTGTAAAATAACATTTATACTTTAGCAACGATTTTCACTATAACATAGGAGCATGGGTTATTTCACTAGAAATATCCTGGGTATTTCATATTACTATTTCCACGCCTTATAGTTTTATGATCATCAAATCTAACCTCTGTGATTAAACAATTCAACATATCCCATATTTTTCTATTAATACGACCTTACTCTATCACTACATGAAGAATATTGCCAAATATTTATTTATTAAATATTAAACAAGGTTTAAAGACTCGTCTCAATGAAACTTGAAGACATCCAAATTCTAAAATCTTGTTTTACAATGACTACAGGCATGATCTAATAATGAATTTTCTACTAAATAATTTTCAATCCAAGAGCAATAAATTCATGGTGGAACCAATAAATAGCGTTTAGCAGAAACGCCGCTATCTCATATTAGACGCCTTTCTCATAATAGGGGACTTTCCTCTATAATAATTATGATAAGGAGAGAACTCCATTTTTATAGTTACTACTGCTGTAATGTTAATAATAACAATCATATTTATAGTTCTATATAAAAAATAAGTAGTTAATATTGAGAATAATTAGAAATTATAATCGAAATATTTTTCTCTCAGTCAGTAGATAATAATTTCTAATTTTAATCAATTGTAGATCAATCAATTCACGACATATAATTGATAACAATGACTTTTAATTGAAGTGTAAAAATCACCCTAAGTAATCATTTACACAAATAAACTAAATAACTGTTCCTAGGTTAAACGTGGCACTAACTGTCAAATTGAATCATGATATCAAATACGTGCGATGTACGACGCAATAATCTCTTCCGCAGACTTGCCCGAGACACGATCGTTGCACTTGGACAGCGAAAAGTTGGACGCGGACCTGGACGAGAAGAGCGAGAGCTACGCGGAGGACGATCACAACCAGAAGGTTCCGGAGAGTCCGCCTTCCTTTAATAAGACCGACGAGATGCACACATTGGTAGTGAAGCCCGCCGGAAGCATGATGCGATTAAAATGCCCGAGCGTGGGCAATCCTAGGCCAAACATCACGTGGTTGAAGAACAACGAGGAACCAAAGCGGGATATTGGTTCCGTGAGCAAAACCAAGTGGACCCTGAGATTGGAGGATCTCGTTACCAAGGATAGCGGCAATTACACGTGCATCGTGTGCAATTATCTGGGATGTATCAACTATACCTTCAAGGTCGACATTATCGGTGAGTACGGATGCTATGATTTTCCATGGACTCCGCTTGCGAGTTTGATCGCTTTCTTACGCATAAAACAATTTTGCGTCGCGTCCTCGTTGTTACGTGAACACACGACTTGTCGTGCGCGAACTGAAGATCTACTAACGAAACCACAGAGCGTTTCCCGCATAAGCCATACATCAACGAGGACTTTCCGAAGAACGTGACCGCTCTGGTTAACAGTACCGCGATCTTCAGATGCCCCATTGTCTCCGATCTTGAACCGTTTATACAGTGGATTAAAGTCGCCAAAAATCCTGGTGATCAAGAGGACTCACCACCTAATGGGACTGTGCTGCAGGTACATCCGCCATTTATCGCGATGATAGTGGTGGAGGGTCCTGGGTCCTGACTTTTTGTTCACGTCTTAACATTTTTTATTGTAAAAACTTCATTTCGTTAATCAATGTAATGATCCGTTACTGTGCTATCAAATGGTGTAGGGTGAACTAATTATTTATTCTCAAAATTTTTTTTTTCAAGATATCAAATGCCACAAAATTTTTACAGATTTTTGGGCGAAGAAGACTTTCTGTTCTAATCGTAATTAACAAAACTTGATTACTTCATTTTACAGCGCACGTCGTTTAGGAAGTATCTTCACGGTTATGGGTTTTCTTATTATTCTTATAATTCTTTACTTTTTACTTTACTTTATTCTAGTCTATTTCATACATAGAAATCAAAACAGGACACTGACACCCTAAACAAAGAATTAAACGAAAACTTTAACGAACGTTACAGCATATTACAACGATTTATTTTATTTCATATGTAAATAATAAATTTATCTGCACATTTGAAAATTTAGCAAATAGACCTGGTTCGTTTGTTTTTACTATATTACAAACCGTTATTTTCACACAGTTTTTCATTTTTATATTTACTTGGTGTAAAAATAATAATATTTTAGGTGACTTAAATGCACAGCCGAATTTTTTATTTCTATATTTCTTGCTTCATCTTCTTTATGCGTATAACTAATTCTAGCTAAATATTGGTTTAAACGGTGGTTGGGTTTCTTTTTCTCTATAGAGACTGTACCGCATCGACCGATCCTGACGATCGCACCACGAAATACCACGGTGCTTATAGGAAGCAACACTAGTATGATCTGCCGGGTTTTATCCGATGCACATCGTCATCTCGAATGGTATCACGGTTACCATACTTCTCTCGACACCGTCAACATGACCAATCAAAGCTTACGGGTGGAGGTCAAGGTGGGCGCAGCTTGCATGCAAACTTGCAATCTTTTTTTTAATCGCTTTCAATCGCTTCATCGCTTTGAAATCTTGCCCTTAATTAAATATGTCTCTGTTCTACTTTAATGTTTACCAAAAAAACAAAGGAAAATGAGTTAGGACTGTTTTTCAACTAAAATGAAACAATTTCGAGATGTACCAATTATGTATCATATAAAGGGCTACTTAAGCAGAGTCGATTGACGTATCGCAATAGAGTATTCTTTTCGGGAGAGATTTTTTTATTTTAGTCGAAAAATAGACATAACTTAACATTCTCTTTTAAACTTGCGTTTACGTATTAGTATAAATCTTGTTGTATGATCTATCCGATAGATTCTATCGGTATCGAATGCACGATTAATGGCCTTTCATTCAATATAGGCAGGAACGAATGCAGAAGACCCGGAAGAGCTAAAGTTATATAATGTTACTGAAAAGGATGAGGGATGGTACACATGTATTGCCCAGAACACTTTAGGAGAAACATTTAGCAGCGCTTATCTACGTGTAGTAGAAAGTGAGTATATAATCCAATTTTACACTGTTAAATTTTATAGGGTCAAATTAATTTAACGTGAGTCGCCACTGCTTCTACTTAATAATGTCATTATTTTTTACTAAAACAATGGTTATATTTGGCATTATCCAGTATCAATTTAACATTATATAGTGTCAAATTTAATTATCATTTTAATAAAAAGTAACGATATATTTGGTAGGAGTAGTGGCGACTCACATTAGGTTAATTTGACCCTATAAAATTTAACAGTGTACTTAAAGTCATTGAACGTTTTCATTCATACGAACAAAGTATTTATAAATAGAATACAAAAATGCTAGATAAGCTACATTATTGTAAAATTTTTCAGCGCTGGACGAACAGAAAGTACCGTTAGCTGCGAAGCCACATATCTTGATAAACATTCTGGCGGCAATTCTGTGCGTATTCTTCGCCGTGGGTGTCGTCGTTGTGATATACATTTTCCATCGATTGAAACGCGAGAAGATGAAGAAGCTGCTTGCGATAGAAACAGCGCGTGCGGCGGTCGTGACGCAATGGACCAAGAAGGTAATCGTAGAGAAACAGAAATTGGTGAACGCGCAGAACGAGGAGGAACTGTTGATGCCGGTAGTAAAGATCGAGAAACAAAAGTCCACCGTTGTCACCGATGACAGTACTAACGACAACGTATTCGAGTACGAAATACCGCTGGACAACAGTTGGGAAGTACCAAGGGAATATCTCACGCTTGGCAATACGCTGGGTGAAGGAGCCTTCGGCAAGGTTGTCAGGGCTGAGATAAACATCGGTAAACCCGGAATACCCAACGTCATAGCGGTAAAAATGTTGAAAGGTGAGCAAATAAAAACATGCAACACCAGACAACCACGATACCTGGAAGATATATCTATTTGTGTATATGAATATATAAATTTTTTATCTATATATATAGACATGTATTATATATATATACAGTGATGGGAGAAAGTTCGGCAACGGTCAAATATCTTGGAAAATAATGCTTATGGAAAAAAATGTTCAATACAAAAGTTTTAGTA